CTTAAAAAATCTATAAATGAGACAAGTTGGAAAGTTTCTAAACATCTAGACTTTGAAAACAATTTTGACAAGACTATTTTGTGCTGTAAACAACTACTTGAAGTTCAATGTTAGCTCATTTGAATCTTATATCAATAAGTCCTTTAAGATGTAAGAAATAGTCATTTTTAACATTCATTTATCTATTAATTTATTTATTTCATTTATTTATTTTTGTGCCAGTCCTGGAGCTTGAACTCAGGGTCTGTGCACTGTCCCTGAACTTTTTTGCTCAAGGATACCACACTACCACTTGAACACAGTTCCACTTCCAGCTTTTTGGAGTTAAGAGTTTCAGGGACTATACTGTACAAGCAGACTTCGAATCATGATCCTCAGATCTTTACATGCTGAATAGCTAGGATTACAGACATGAGCCACCAGGGACCAGCTTAAGAAATAGTTATTAAGTTTAAAACTAGGCTAGTTCAGTAAGCCAGTTTCTCTGTGTTTGCTTCACCAAGCATAGGCTGCTAGGCACTGGGAAGGTGAGGATGAACAAAGACAATTTAAATCCCTGTTGGTTGTTTAAGCTAAAAGGCAGAGGCAGGTGTTATATAAACCAAATGAAAATTATAATGTATCCAGCTTTATGTATGACCTTTAGAGGGAGCTAGGATAATTAGGAAAGGATTCCCATTAGAAGTCAGGAAATTTCATTTGTAGAAAGCAGTAAATAATACATAATGTGTATTATTATCTGTAATAGAGTATTGGTAATTGTATATAAGATCAAACATTGTGCTAGAACTGCCTATACTCATTCTTTTATGTGTCGTTGTCTTATATTCAACCACCACCAATGAAAGATTCTTGGAGACAGGAACATCTTGACATAATAGTGTATGACTCATATCAAAGGCTTTGTTCATATTATGCCATAAGTAATATCTATCAAATTAAGGTATCACTTTAATTCTTCTTTTTATCATATAACTATAAATGTACAATAGTTATATTATTTAACATATTGCTGTCATGGCTATTATACTTATCATAGCATAATAAGTTATATGGAAGAATAAAGAAAATACTTTTTTGCCAGATGTCAATGGCTTACACCTGTAATCCTAGTGGCTTGTGAGACTAAGAACAGGAGGATCACAGATCCGAAGACCCTTCCCAGCCTATCTGTCATCTAGGTTCATAGTAGACTATAAACAGGAAGATTATAGTTGCAGACACACCCAGGGAGAAAAGTCCATGAAGACTGTATCAGTAGAAAAAACTGGGCATGGGCTGGTAATGTAGCTTAGTGATAGAGTGATTACCTAGCATGCGTGAAGCCCTGGGTTCAATTCCTCAGTACCACATACTCAGAAAAGACTGGAAGAAGCTCCAGTGGCACAATCAGTTAGCATGCAATACTTAAAAGGCTGGAAGTGGCACTGTGGCTCAAGTGGTAGAATGCTAGCCTTGAGCAAAAGAAGCTCAGGGACAGTGCCTAGGCTCTGAGTTCAAGCCCCAGGACTGGCAAGAAAGAAAAAAGGAAAGAAGGAAGAAAGGAAGGAAGGAAGCAAGGAAGGAAGGATGCCTGTCATCCGAGATATGATCGAAATTGTAAAATAGGAAGATTGTGGTCCAGGCACACTCTGGACTCTACCTCAAAAATAACCAGCACAAGGAAGAGCTTGGAGGAATAGGGCTCAGTGGTAGAGTGCCAATTTAGCAATCATAATGCTTTGAGTTCTAACTCCAGAGAAAAAACTTCTATAAGAAGAATACTGGGCTGGGAAGGTGGCTCAGTGGTAGAGTGCTTGCCTTGCATGCCTGAGGCCCTGGGTTCGATTCCTCAGCACCACATAAGCAAAAAGGGAAGAAAAAAAAGCCGGAAGTGGCACTGCTGCTCAAGTGGTAGAGCGCTAGCCTTGAGCTGAAGAACTGAGGGACAGTGCCCAGGCCCAGAGTTCAGGCCCCAGGACTGGACCCAAAAGAAAAAAAGAAGAAGAAGAATACTTTGGTGGCTGGAGGCAATTGGTAGAAATTTAGGCAATCAGCAAAAAGTGGCAGATACCAAGTTCAAGCCCTGGTCTCAGACCTAAATAAAAGAAGAAGAAAAGGAAAATACTTTTTAATTGATGTTCCAATTACTCGTGACTATGACAAAAAAAAATTTATACCAATGTGTTTATCATAACTAGAACATGGCATCTCCCTGTGTACTAAGGGCCTATGTATTGCTCTCAGTTTCTGTATAGCAATCAAGAGGGTTGTTTTATTATTGTAGCCTACAATTCATTTGCTTTGTTTATTCTAGAATCTTCACAAAAATTTTGTCTGGGAATATAAAATATAAAAACTTGCTTTGCTTGAAAAATTTGAAAGCATCATAAAATGAGGTCAACTTTTCTTTTGGCATCAGGCTATGTAAATGCACTCCTATTAAGTGGAGCATGGTCTTTAGATAGTAAATTTAGCCTATGGGTACATTCATTTTACTGTATTCACTTAGGCTTTAAATATCCTCATTCCTTAGGGAGAGTAAAGCTAAGAACTCCATCACATGACTGTCTGGATCTCTGAAATGCTAAGGCTTTATGAAAGCCTTATGGATTTTGAATAATAATAAAGCAAGTGCTGGCTTGTTAAGTAGGATAATCTGATCCATGCACTATATAAACTGGAATGTAATTTTAGATTGTATGGTTTTATATCACAGATGACTCCATAATCTTCAAAAGACATTGCCTAATTATAAGAGGATATTTCCTTGAAAAAGAAATTCTATTTGAAATATGACTGAAGATTCTATTTTAGGACTTTATTTACAAATTTTTACAAATTAATATGTGTCACATTTCTGTAGTCATGAGAAATTGAATGCATAAAGTGCTCCAAAATTGAACATGACTGTCACTTCATTTGACCACATTAACAACAAGTTTCTTACTGAATTATTAGGAAAGATGGAAATTTACAATCTGGCTTATAAAGTTCACTCAGTTCCTTAATTTTTATTTTTTATTTATTTATTTTTTATCAGTCATGGGGCTTGAACTCTGGGCGTGGGTGCTGTCCCTCAGCTCTTCAGCTCCAGGCTAGCACTCTACCACTTAAGCCACAGCGCCACTTCTGGTTTTCTGGTGATTAATTAGAAATAAGAGTCTCACAGACTTTCCTGCCAGGGCTGGCTTTGAACCGTGATCCTCAGATCTTAGCCTCCTGAGTAGCTAGGTTACAGGTGTGAGCCACTGGCACTGCCCTAGTTGCTTAGTTCTTTTAATAAATATTTTTGAACCTCTTCTTGGTGCCAGGTCTTGTAGGCATTAGGCAAATTCTTGGGGAAGAAAAGCAAGCCAAGTAAGCAGACTAGCTCAAGGAGCAACATTGTCATACACTCTTCCCTCTTGACATATTTACTGTTAAACTTTGGTGATATCATTGGACTCTCATTCAGAATATATTTACTTCAAATTTTATGCATGTTCCTGACAAGCTTATTTGTCTGATTCCTTGACTTGTTGAAATTAGGAGGGGCTCGCTGCTGGAGTCACAGATATTGCCAGTACAGATCATAGCTAACAAATTCACAAAGTCAGGAGCCACACTTCCCAAGGGATCACAATAATAATCTACAGCAGTGTTCCCCTGGCTCTGTCCCAGTCCGCTGCATGAGAACATCATTCCTCCTACCCTCCTCCTGCTTCCCACATACCTCTGAGAGTCCCCGAAGGATAGCTCAGTAAGTGTTTCTGAAAATAGCCCTCTTCTTCAGTTCCCCATCCTCGTGGAGTTCTCACAGGTCACCAAGTAGGGCTTTAGCTGTGTCCCAGATGACTTTCTAGCACTGTGACCAAGGCCTATCAAATTCTGGAGCCATGCTACAATTCTAGAAAGGCCTCGCCCTCTCAGTTCCCACAGATAAGTACAGTGTGACCTTGATCATTGGGGGTGGGAGGGAGCTAAAACACTTTGATCGTAATATGCAATAAAAATATAGTGACCAAAGGAATATAAAATGTAAGACTCTCACATAGCAGACCCGCCTGAGGCAAGGAATTCATTTCAGCAAGGAAGCTCTCGCCTGCAATTATTGAAGAACTCAGGCTCTGGCCTCCTTCACTATAGCTTCCTCCAAAGCTCTTCTGCTTCCTGCCAGCCAAGCTATCAGGAAGAAGAGGAGACAATGTGCAGGAGGCACATTCACTGCTCACAAGCTTCAGCTCACATTGTCAGTAAGAACTCAACACATGGCCCCACCCCCCTGCAAAGGGGACCTGACTGGTCCACTTCCCAGCACACTCTGCCCTGTGCCTCTTTTAGGAAAGGAGGTTGTCATATCCATGCCGCTCCTGTGTCTGTGTCCTAGACCTCTCTTTTCAGCCCTTGCTCTAACACCTAGAGCAGGCAAGGGCATCACTGGTCACAGAGTCTGTTCCAGACCTTCCTCAGGTGGCTCCCTTTCTCATCCATAAAAACAACTTTGCTGAACTTTATCTGGTTTTCTCAAATCCCCTCCCTTTCCCACCCATGCCCAGCCAGAACAGAACAGCTGCCATTCTGCAGAGTGGAGATGGAGGTCCCCACTGCCTGGGAGACTCCACCTCTAACTAGCCCAACTGGAGCCATAGTTCAAGTAATAGAGTGGTAGAGTGCCAGTGAACAAGAAAGCTGAGTAGGTGCCAGGTCCCTGAGTTCACACTCCACTACCAGCCCATTGAAAAAAAAAGAAGATCTTTGTTCCAGTTAAGAAAAATATTTCCTATTTTTCCATTCTTTGACTTAGATTCATGTTATATTAGGCCGCAGAGATGTGTTAGGCTTTGACTCTTATATACCAGGACTCTTGATGTAGTGATATAAGGAACTCAAATATAAACCACGATGAAAACCAAACCATCATTTCCCACATTTGACCCAACATACTATATGTCTACAAACACATATGTATTTATATGGATGTATTCAGAGTTGTCAATAATTTTAGTCAATTGTTCCATGAGTATTATTATGATTTCCAGGTTCGCTGGATGATGTACTGGATTGTTTTTGCGCTCTACACTGTGATTGAAACGGTGGCTGATCAAACAGTCGCTTGGTAAGTTTTACTGTTTGGAAGGGGCCAGACTACAGATTCCATGATCAGATATCCTAGCTCTTAACCTCATCTGGCTATTAACTAAGTTATTTAATTATCTAGCATCTGGGTGTCTTTCTCTGCTTTCCCACAGGACCATTACTTTTCTGTAGCTCCCCTCAAGTGAAGGCAGCTCACTCCCCACATGTCATTCCCTTCAAACCTCCTACTCTCTTCCCCCCAGCATTTTGAATAGAGAAAGTTGGTTATCATAATCCATTTTCTACATTGATGACTTCAGATTGTTTTCCTTGATCACTTCCTGAATGACTCCTCTTTCTGAAGCTATAGCATCTGCTTTTAGCACTTCTTCTCCATCCTTAAAACTCATCTATGAACCTTTAGACTGCACGTCATCATCCACGTGGGCACCCACTCAACACCAGCTTCTTGGCTCCTCTGTTCCAAATAGCATGAGGTGACATGAAAGCAGATTTATTTCCTCATGGCTTTAACATTTTACTGAGGAACAGTACTTAACAGAACAACTTGAATCTTCTCATGCCATATTTTTGTACTGCCTCTATCTAAATCCTGCCAACAACTTGGAGAAATCCCTTTTTAAAATATTCAAGCTGCTGGGTGCTGGTAGCTACTCCTATAATCCTATAGCTGCACAGGAGGCTGAGATCTGGAATCTCAGTTCAGAGCCATCCTGGGCTACAAATCTATGAGACTCTTCTTCCAGTTAGCCAGAAAAAGCTGTAACTGAGGCATAGCTCAAGGTGTAAAGTGCCTACCTTAAGCAGAAAAAAAAAATCAAATGTGAAGCCTTGAGTTCAAGACCCAGTACCAATCCCTAACTCCTCCAAAAAAAAATAGCTTTGTATTTTCAACTTTCATGCATCATAAATTCAGCCTACATTAACTGTATAATAGCTCTTCTTTGCATCTTTATCTGGGCTATTCAATGCTGTCAAAAAAATCATCCCACAGAGTTCATAGTCAACAACGTGAACCTTACCATTCCCTGTTCCTACTTTGAGAGTCAGTTACTCCTTTCATTCCATCGCTTGTCCATTTCATACCCTTGTAGTTCTTTCCTGTAGGTATTGATCTTTCCTGTAGATACTGATGGCCCACACCTAATCAAAGCTATTCAGGAGGCTGAGATCTAAGAATTGTGGTTCAAAGCTAGGCCTAGCAGGAAAGTCCATGAGACCCTTATCTCCAGTTAACCACCTGAAAACTGGAAGTGGAGCTGTGGCTCAAAGTGGTAAAGCACTAACCTTGAGCATAAATACTCAGAGACAACACCCAACAAGCCCTATGACTGATTAAATAAATAAATAAATAAAATATCTTTCCCTATGGAATTGTAACCACTTTATACAACTATAACTACCTAATAATTAATTAATTAATTATCTTTCCCATAGCCCTCATAATCTTATAGCACAATATGTCAAATTGAATTTGCTAGGGGGAAAAAATGGTATCAGTCTTAAACATTTCTTTTCTTTTTTGGGGGGTGGGGAGGAGGGGGCGCCGGTCCTGGGGTTTAAACTCAGAGCCTGGGCACTGTCTCTGACCTTCTTTTGCTCAAGGCTCTACCACTCTACCACTTAAGCCACAGTACCACTCTGGCTTTTTCTGTTTAGGTGGTTCTGAGGAATCCAACCCAGGGCTTCATGCATGTAGAAAAGCCCTCTACTACTAAGCCACATTCCCAGCCCCAGTCTTAAACATTTCTAACAACCTGCCCTTATTTATGAATTTCTCCCTGTCTGCTTCTATGTTTGTGTGGGAGGTTGAACCTAGCGCCACCCCCATATTAAGTGTACACACTCCAAACCCCCATCTTTCTTTTTTGATTTGAAATACATTTTCTTCGCTCTATCACAAAGCTATTCATTTACTTCTTTTTGACCTAGAGATTTGAGATAATTTTTTTCTGTTTGTTTTTAACTGGCAAAACACTCCAAATCATTCTAAGTGTCTAACGTTCATTCTAAGTATTAACGTTCTTTTTCTTTATGTCTTCTCATTTCTTCTGATTTCAAATGTAGCCTGTATAAACTATTAGAAAGTGTGGGAAATGTTGAACACAAATGATAGAAGGCCACAAAGCAGAGATGCTTCGTTGATGGTACCCATAGTCACCCCTATACCACATGCTACCTGTCTGACATACTACCACCCTTGCTCAGAGTATCCTGTATCTTAGTGTCTTGGTGGGCCACAAGATGCTGATATACTCAAAGTATATTCATTAACATTTAGTATGACAACAAAATAGCCTGAAGCACAGTAGTTTAGAACAACAAACATTTATTTCTTGCTCAAACAGCCTGTGGGTAAATGGTTAGCTACAGCTTTGTGGGACTTGGCTCAGCTTTAAGTCTCCTTTCAGGACCTAAGCTGAGGAAGCAGCTGTTCCCATGACAGAAGGCTAAAGCTTAAAGCAAAAGGTTGAAAGAAATGGGGTGAGAGAGTCAAAGGCCATTCCTAGCTTCCATTTGTGTGTGACATATGTCACATTCACATTCTGTTAGCAAAGCAAAGCATGTGGCTAAGCCTGTCTGGTTGGGCAATGTCCTTGGCCTGCAGGAAAGCACTGCAAAGTCACATGGAAAATGGTATAGCTGTTTAACCCTAATTCCAACTCTACTGTACTAGCGATTCCCTTCACCCCTTCACTTGCAAGTAGAATTTGTAATTCCAGCCAAGTGAAAGTGGAAGTTTCCCTTAGTGGTAGAGTGCTTGCCTGGCATTCATGAAGCCTTGGGTTCAATTCCTCAGTACCACATAAACAAACAACAGCAACAAAAAAAAAGCCAGAAGGGGCACTGTGGCTCAAGTGCAAAAGTGCTAGCCTAGAGCAAAAGAAGCTCCAGACAGTGCCAAGGCCCAGTTCAAGCCCCAGGACTGGCAAAAAAAAAAAAGAAAGAAAAAGAAAGTAGAATTTTCCCAGCCAAAGGAGATATACATATTGGAGTGATACACATTGGTTATATGCTGATGTTTGGAGGTATTCTCATGTACGTCTATAGAAGTTTGGCTCTGTAGACAGGGTTGGTGTACCTTACTACCAGAGCTAAATGCTGTTAATGCCCTCCCTGAACTGCCACGGTCAGTTTGGCAGCTTTCCTGTGCTTCTTGCATCAGAGGAATCTCGTAAAGGAAGGTGTGAATCTCTGCAGGGATCAATTTACTGTATAATTTACTCAACTATAGTTTTGTTTTGTTTTAATGAATTTGTCAATTCCATTTTGGTTGTTTCTCTGATCACTAACTTTTCCATGTGCAAACTTAACATAGTGACTAAACTTTCTAAAATGTTTATGATTTCCACATAGTTTGTGATTTCATTTTTCACTAGCAGATTTTCTCCTAATTTTTTTCTTGCTAGGTTTCCCTTGTACTATGAGCTGAAGATCGCCTTTGTCATATGGCTGCTCTCTCCCTATACCAAAGGAGCAAGTTTAATATATAGAAAATTCCTTCATCCACTTCTTTCTTCAAAGGAAAGGGTAAGTATATGTTATTTCCAGGCTGGGAATATGTCTTAGTGGTAGAGTGCTTGCCTAGCATGCCTGGAGACCTGGGTTCAATTCCTCAGTCCCATATAAACAGAAACCAGAAGTGGTGCTGTGGCTTAAGTGGTAGAGTGCTAGCCTTGAGCAAAAGCTCAGGGGCAGTGCCCAGGCCCAGGGTTCAAGCTCCAGGACTGGCAAAAAAAAAAGGTGTGTGTATCTATGTGTGTGTGTGTATGTGTGTGTGTGTTTGTGTGTGTATATATACACAAATATATGAATATATAACATATACATAGAATATACATATTTATAAGCTATTTCTATACATCACTCTGAGAAATGCATGTCAGCATGTCTTTTTAATACTGCAACGTTAGTAAAATTACTGTGAAGAGAAAGCCCTATTATTGGGCGGGGGAGGGGGGCACTTCATAACACTACTTCTAAATAAAATTGACATCTACCCTCATCTGCTTTTGCTTTCCCAGGAAATTGATGATTATATCGTGCAGGCAAAGGAGCGAGGCTATGAGACCATGGTGAACTTCGGACGGCAAGGTTTAAACTTGGCAGCTACTGCTGCTGTCACTGCTGCAGTGAAGGTAAATTCGTCATCTGCCTTTTTTTTTCGAAGTCACATTGTCAACAGATAAGGAAAGGTGGCTTTTTAAGCCAGACCTGTAATCCTAGCTTCTAAGGAGGCTGAGATCTGAGGATTGTGATTCAAAGCCAGCCCAGAGAGGAAAGTCCATGAAACTCTCATCTCCAATAAACCACCAGAAAACCGGAAGTGGAGCGGTAGCTCAAGTGGTCTAGCGCGCTCACCTTGAGCTGAAGAGCTGAGGGACAGTGCTCAGGCCCAGAGTTCAAGCCCCATGATGGACAAAAAAAAAAAAAAGGTGGCTTTTATTTTCTGAAGCTGTGGCAGAATTTTGGTTTATGTTTCGTGTAATCCTATAAAGAACAAATAGAGAACTTTAAAGATACTTTAACACTTTGTTTTCTATAGTTCTATTTTGAAACTCTTAATTGATTAAAATATGCGAGGTAGTTAATCAACATGACATATCTGAAAATGTCATTTTGTGCCAAATTTCCAAATTTTTAATTTTGAGACTGTTTGACTAAATCACCTTAAGTAAAGATGACCATTCTTCTTTCTCTGTCTTTGGTCTCTCTCTCTCCTCTCTCTCTCTCACTCTCTCTCTCTCTCTCTCTCTTTCTCTCTCTCTCCATGCAATATCTTGGTAGGATTTCTGGCTTACTTCTGCATCTCTACTTCAATCAATTTGAGGTAACTAATTATTCAAAATAAGGCATGAAAAAAATTCTTAAAACTTGGAATTTTAGCGAGTAAATTACTAATGTCATTTGCTGTGTTTGCAAGCCAAGCTATCAAATGAATGTCTTCTGTGAAAATTTGCATTATGGCTTTTGGATTTCTTTGCATGTAGTAATTGGTGTGGTTTATTTTAAATACCATAGCATACCATAGCATAACTGCTTTTAGTATGTGGGATATGGAAAGAAAACAGGCTTCATATCCAGAAAGGGCTCACTGTGACTGTCTAAGTAACTGTAGACAGTTTACTTTCTGAGTTCCTTAGTTAGTTCATGTATAAAGTAGGGTAATATGCTTATCTGTGAGAGTATATATAATAACATGGTACTTGTCTCTGTATAGTAGGAATCCATTAAACTTTGATATTATGCATACTATTTAACTTCAAGTAAAAAGTTTGAGTTTACTCTTAAGGACAGTGAGTAGTATTCTGCTTTTAAATCAGGTTCTTTTAGTTGTCCCAAATTAAATTACAGTGCTAAAAATTGGTGATTTTATATAATTGAAATAGTGAAGGAATGTAAAATGAGGGCACTTTCATTTTTTGGAGAGACCATTGGCTCAATTATCAAAGTTAATATAACCCATAGGATGAAAAATTCAAATTTCATACCTGGCAAGGTGTAATGAGGACTAAATGGAAGTGTATGAACCACACAGTGTTCTATATTATATATGCATGATAATCATATTAGTAACAATTACTTAGAACATAGTAATATAATGAAATATACTATAATTTTCCTGTTAGCTTGCTTTCAAAAGGTTTTCTTTTATTAAGATAGACTAGTAAATGAGCACTGAAACAGCAACATTTTCAACTTAGAGAATTATTTTCATTTTAGAAGTCCATTTGCATGTTATTTCTTGCTTAATGGAAATGCATTCCTGATCTCTGTGTTGCTAAAATAGATCATCCAGGAGATCCAACATTCAACAACCAGGATTTCTGAAAGGAAAGACATGTACAATCATTCAAATAAAAAGAAATTATGTAGATAATATTATAGAATGGAAGGACATGAGTCTTCAGTACAAGGTCCACAAAGTACTCAGTACCGTGAATGAAGAGAATGACTAACTGTAAGCAACGTCATTAGGTATCCAGAACACATAAGAAGCAAATTCTTAAGGATAACCAAAAGCATATGACATCCAAAGAATCTAGAATCAGGATGGTAATTAAATTCTAGATAGTGACCAGGGAAGCTTGAAGACAACGTAGTGCCATCCATCATGCCATCATGATATTCTTGTTTGCTTTCTATAATGGTAAGGTCTGATTTGGGGATATATAATTTTAATCCTACACAATATAAAATTTGCCTAAGGTATATCCTTTGTCAGGCAAATCCGTTCTGCAAAAGCTAGAAAACAAGCCACAAAAAAAAAAAAGGTAACCCCAGGATTGGGAAAACAGATAAGCCAACACAGAAGGAAGGTGATCGGATCCCCTAAAGGTGATAGGGTCCCCTAAAGGGTGCTGTGCAGCAAGTCCAGAGCACAAATTGCTCTGGGACAAAGTGTGGAGCTAAGAGAATATAATATGATTAATGCTACACAGTGATAATTAACCCAGCAAGAGCACAGGATGTGACCAATCAGAGGACTCAACACAGACAGCTAGTACCTATAACAGGTGCATATTTGCCCCAATCACCATGAATAATGTGTTGGATGCTATGTAAAACAGAGTAGATAACTAAACAAGTGAAAATTTTTAAAAAGGGCTTGACCATTAACTCTGGGGGAAAAAAAAGTTTTATAAAAAAAGAAAATAGTGGAGCCTGACTCAGCCCAGCAGTGAACAGCATTTGCATTGTAATAATTAGAATACAAACTAAAGATTTAACTGCTGTGATTTTGCTATATTGGAGCCTGAGAGAAAAGGAAGTGGAAGGGAACTAAAATCCTTGTCTGACAGAAAGGGACAATGGGTTAAACTGGCTCCATTTTCAGTGGAGTGAGTCTAAAGACTCACTTACAGTTTTTCATGTTAAAAAATTTATTGTTGCCAGGTGCCAGTGACTCATGCCAGTAATATTAGCTACTGAGATCTGGGGATTGTGGTTCAAAACTAGCCAGAGCTGGATGCCCATAGCTCATACCTGCAATCCTAGCTACTCAACAGGCTGAGATCTGAAGATTGTGGTTCAAAACCAGCCCAGGCAGGAAAGTCTCGAAGACTTTTTTTCTCCAACTACCAAAAGAAAAAAGCCAGAAGTAGAGCTGTGGCTCAATTGGTAAAGTGCCAGCCTTGAGCAAAAAAGCTCAGGAACAGAGCCCAAACCCTAAGTTCAAGCCCCAGGATTGGCACAAAACAAACAAACCATATACATACATACGTATATACATACATACATACATACATAATTTGATTTTACAAATCAAGTAAATGTGTTTATTTTCTCCCCAATTAGGATGTTTTAAATTTGTCCTCTAGTGAAAGTGCTGGGAAGGCAGCCATGAAGAGGATAGATGGCTGCCTGCTCGCCGACACTGTCTAGCTGTCACTAATGTCTGTATTCACAGCTGGAAATGTTAAGCTATCTTTGGTTGCCCTCCATCATTACATGAAACATCACCTCACAGAAATAAGTTTCTGTAAAGTTACTATGAAAGTAACACTATATCTATCTCTACCATGTTGTCCTTTGTGATTCATTATTTTAGATATTATTTATGTCTTAAAATCACTTCACTGGTTCCATAGGCCAGAGTGGAAAAACATTAAAGCCATCAGTTACTATTAAAAAGCAAGTAGAAACACATACCCCATAATTGAAATTTCTTTTAGAACTCTCCCCACTTGTAATGTTGTGACTCTTTCAACAAATTCTCTAGATATGAGGCAACTTTACCATTCTCATGATCAGCACAGGAACATTGGCCATTCCACCTTGGAATCTATTTTATTCATTAGAAATGCTCATTAAATATGCTCAGCACTGCATAACATTGACACCATTTGCCTCTCAAGTTATATAGCACTTATTTTTAAAAAGCCAAAATTAGTTTCATCTCTGGAGATGTCAAAAACAGGTATTGTCATAGAAGTATCACTGAAATAGACACTTCATGAGTTGAAACTCAAACAGGAAGTAGGTCAGTTTTAAGGAAAAACTGCAAGAAAGTCAATAATAAGACTTACTTAAAATTCTTACCATATGTAAGAATATCTGTCAGTCTAAAAAAAATCTTGAACTCTTTGTATGACCTTTAGAGAACAATAGTACCTCTGACCAGATTTCCCAGGTTGAACCACCTGAGCATGTTAAAGATGAAAACAGGAATGTAATCAGAACATTTATTGCACTGTAAAGCAATTTTCTGAAAATATTGCTCGGTTCCATGACCTCATTACCAGGCATCTGTTCGCAAAGTCGGTGTACAAGTTTATTTTGGCTGAGCAAAGCACAAATATGTGAAGGACCTTCAAGGATTTTGCTGAGAATGTTCAGCATCCATGGCTTTTCACAGAGAAATGCAGGTGACTTATATACATGAGCAGCATTACTACCTGTGAAAGATAGGTGAAAATATTTCTGAATTTTCTCTAGGAGCCTTTCCTTAATGAATTATTCGGTGGATTTAAAAAAAAAAACAGAAATTAGAGCTTCACCCATAAAGCTGCTGAATCTAATTGACTTTAAATGATTATCATTACATCAAGAATCCTTGACGTCTTCCCTCTGTTTTAATGACTTTCTGTTTGTGAAAGGATTTGAGAATATGCCACTAGGAAATATCATCCTCCGAAAAAGATAGCATTCGTCTAGACAACAGAAAAGAAAACTAAACTATTTTTCCTACAATCAAGAAGAACAGATTGGTATAATGAACATTGGATTGTAGAGCATTGAATTAATCTACATTTTTTTTTTTAGTTTTGATTTTGTCACTAATTAGCCATAAAATTTTCAGAAAATCATCCACATTGATCTAAATACCAATTTTACTACCTCTGGCACAGTGTTTCTCAACTGGAGTGATTTTTGTGCCCCACTACTACCATTACCAAGGGACATTTTGGGTTGTCACTGATATCTATTGAGTAGAGGCACAGAGGCGACTTGATATTCTAAAAGCAAAGGACAATTCCCACCACAAAACAACTGTCCAGCCCAAAGAAGCAATAACCTTAAGGTTGAGAAAGCCTGTATTAATAATGTAATGAGTCATAAAAACCCAAAGGAGATATACATAAGCATATCTTATAGTTTAGGGAGTGATTATAAATAATTCATATTTCCTTTTTAAAGCTTGTTTTCACTGGACGCCAGTGGCTCATGTCTGTAAGAACTCAGAATAATGCCCAAGGCCTGAGTTCAAACCCCAGGATACACACATACACACACACACACACACACACACCACACACACACACACACACAGAGGGAAAAAAGTTTCTATATTGATGCATATATTGCATCTGTCTTAATATTCCAATGTGAGCTGGGCAGAGGTGTCTTACACCTGTAATACTAAATACTCAGGAGGCTGAGATCTGAAAATCTCCGTTCAGAGCTAGCCTGGACAGAAAAGTCTGTGAGACTCTTATCTCCAATTAACCACCAAAAATCCAGAAGTGGAGCTGTGGCTCAAATGGTAGAGAGCTAGCCTCAAGCACAAAAGCTTGGGAACAGTGCCCAGGCCAAGGTTCAAGCCCAGAATCAACACCAAAATGATAATAATGGTAATAATAAAATGTATTATTCCCCTAATGGAAATGCAGTCAGTGCTCTTCTGGATTTCATCAGATTAATTGTCGAATGTCAAGAGGAAAAAGATCTTTCTCTAAACACTGAGAATTAACCTTATCTGCACTTATAATGTAACATGCCAAAGATTAACAAGAAATAGAGTTTAATAGCTATGCATTATTGAATGAGATAGTGAGAGTTATGTAAAACAATGTATATGAAGATAATAGGTTGACAGCTTTATATAAAGGTGCTAATAAGCACAATAAATTCTCTTCATTTAATACAAAATATTGTTTCAATGTGCCATTTAACCAGTTAGTATTTAGAAAAAGACAGATATTTGAATATAAAGAAGGGCTGGCAATGTGGCTTAGTGGTAGAGTGCTTGCTGGGCATGCATGAGGCTATGGATTCAATTCCTTGGTACCACATAAACAAATATATTTAAAAAAAAAAAAGAAGAAGAAGAATGAACCAGGTACCTTTGGCTTATACCTATAATTCCACCTACTAAGGAGGCTGAGATCTGAGGATTATGGTTTGAAGCCAGCCTGGGCAAGAAAGTCCATGAAACTCTTATCTCCAATTAACCACTAAAAAGACAGAAGTGGAGGTGTGGCTTAAGTGGTAGAGTGCCAGGTTTGAGGAAAAGCTGAGTTAGAGAACACGTGGCTTTGAGTTTAAGCCCCAGGACTGGCATGCGCGTGCGTGCACACACATGCACACACATGCACACAGAAGTAGATATCACAAATGCTGGAGTTAGGCCTTTCTAATCCTGAATGGTGTCTAGTACCCACAGCAGTGCCATCCACTCTGCCTGTAGTTGGCTACTGAGCCTCTGTGTGTAAACTCCAATGTTCACATTAAACATGTCAGTCAAATGGAAAAGTCTTCAGCAACAAGAGTAATAGAAAATATTATGAGTAGGAGCTTGTGTGGTAATTTACATCTACTCAGAAGGAAGAGACAAGATGGTCATAGTTCAACCCTAGCCCAAAAGCAAAAGAGGTAGGAAGGCCCTGAGTTCAAACCCCAGTACCAGAGGAAAAATGCATTTAGTATGCTCACTATCAGAACTAGACCATATAAAGTAGGAGACTAGAAGACACATAAGAGTTGTCTGGGAAGTGGCGCTGTAGCTCAAGTGGTAGAGCGCTAGCCTTGAGCTGAAGAGCTGAGGGACAGCGCTCAGGCCCAGAGTTCAAGCCCCATGACCGACAAAAAAAAAAAAAAGATTTGTCTATTTCCTCTAGTTTCTTTCCCAGTAGGCAAACATACAGAACTCCTCAGTGGAAGTAAACAATAGCATGGGAGTTCATTGTGAGATAAGCCCTAAGATATTTGTTGATTATGCTTATTAAAATTACTAAAGTTCATACATGATACACTACTAAGGTAGATTAATTCAAAGACATTTGACTCATAGCCTGCCTTAGAAATTATACCTGCTTGGGGCTGGGAAAGTGGCTCAGTGGTAGAGTGCTTGCCTTGCATGCATGAGGCCCTGGGTTCGATTCCTCAGCACCACATAAGCAGAAAAAGCCAGAAGTGGTGCTGTGGCTCAAGTGGTAGAGTGCTAGCTAGCTTTGAGCTGAAGAGCTGAGGGACAGTGCCCAGGCCCAGAGTTCAGGCCACATGACCAACTCCCAAAAGAAAAAAAAAGAAATTATACCTGTTCAAGTAGAGCCTATCATACATAGCATGTTAATCAGCTTCCCATTACTATATCAAAATGGCTTTAATTGTCTTATAGAGGGCAAAGGTTTATTATGTCTGTAAGTTTTAGTGCTTGAACTAGTGGCAGGGCAGCATGTAGTGGTAACACTAGCTGCTCATTTCATGGGATCAGGAAGCAAAGACCGGAAGAGGTAGGCCTGAAGTCTGGATATTCCCTTCAAAGGCACACCCCCAATGACCTAACTTCCTTCTACTAGGCCCCACCCTCTCAAGTTTCTACCACTTCTCATTTCCTTGTGCTGTGGACCATTCTATAACATAGACCTCTGGTTGAGATGGGTATGCATGCCATTTGTTGTGGGAGTTGGGACACCAGGTAATAAACAACAACAATTGCTGACAGAAATTCAAAGCAAGATGAAGAAAATGGCAGTTCTGAGAAAACAAGGCATCTGTTCAGATGGACACTGGTCACTTCTTTGTAATGTGTCTTTGAAATGTCCCGTCAGCCATCTGTTTAATAAGTAAATGATATATAGTAAAGAGGAAGCAAATATAATGAACTAACCCATGCCAAGAATATTTTTAAATGTGTGAAATCCAATTATTTTTATGGAGAAATAGGCACTTTAATCATTCTTATCACAATTCAAAAAGTAAGGCAGAAATGGAAAGCACAAGTGGGGTATAAAAACAACATTTGGTTTTGACGTAGCATGGTACCAATAACCCAAGGTACTGAATCAAGGCTGTGAATCAAGTCCTTTTCCTTCAAGGGTAAAATAAAAGTTAGCAGTAATGTCTAAATGTTTGTACACCTTTGACTTGGAAATTTAGACATGAATTATCATGGATGAGTTTCTATGGTAACGTTAAAACTAGAAGCAAGCATAAATTCACATGTGTGAAAAAAGAAATAATAAGTGTAAAGAGCCTTCAGAAGAATATTTTTAATCTAGCTATAAATAAGAAATGAGTCAGATAAGCTATGCAAATTTAAGGTGAGTAAATTTAGGAAAAAATTTATACAAAGCTTTGTAGTCTTGGGGGGAGTATAGGTACATCTGAGAAGTTCAAAAAATGTCTCTATCAAACATGAGCAGTGATGAAAATCACTGAACCTAAAGATCCATCTGTGCCCAGGGTCTATCATATAGTTAAGACAAAATAACTTAAAGTCACATTGTATTGTAATGAATACACTTTACCAGATAATTCACAAACTGAATATCATTTCATATCCAAAATCTTTTGGCTTTTAATTTTTCTAGTTTGTTCTAAGTAGAGCTAGTACTATTGGCTTCACTTAGCATTAAAACAGCGCCTTTGCATTGAAAAGCCAGCTGCTCACGGCTCACACCTCTAATCCTAGCTAATCAGGAGGCTGAGATCTGAGGATCACGGTTGAAAGCCAGTCAAGGCAGGAAAGTCTGTGAGATTCTTATCTCCAGTTAACTACCAGAAACAAACAAACTCATATGGTAGATTGTTAACCTTGACCACAAAAGCTGAAGAACTGCACACAGGACCAGCACAAAAAAGAAGGAAGGAAGGAAGGATCCTTTAGATCATAAACTTTGATTCCCCAAAGTGCTAATTTTAGTATCATTAACACAGAATGTTGAATCAAGACTCAAATATGGATGCTGTTTTTTTCCAAGAGTAATCTATCAGACATTTTTTATGTGTTGTTGCTTAATGTTTGGGGTGAGATGTACTAGGGTCTTACTTTGAAATTCGTTAAAGTACAAAATGGATTAATGGACAGCTAGAATATAGATAGACAATAAAACAAAAATAGCCAGTTATTAACATGTATGATGTTCAGTGTACAAGTCTTTCAACTTTTCTAGAAATTGTATAATAAAATGTTTAGGGATATTAATATAACTATTAATTTATTTTATAGTGAAATGTTTTAACATTGAAATGTTGGGTACAAGCACATTACATCTTGTATTTTTTCTTGGATATGCCACTTCTCTATTAACTAGAGCCAAGGAGCAATAACAGAGCGTTTGCGCAGTTTTAGTATGCATGACTTGACAGCTATCCAGGGTGATGAGCCTGTGGGACAAAGACCATATCAGCCTTTACCAGAAGCTAAAAAGAAAAGCAAAGCTGCCCCCAGCGAATCAGCAGGTATGCTTATTTGTTTTTATACAGTACTTTCATAATTGAGCTTGACCCTCAAGATGGGTACCAAAATAATACATGGTAACTGGTTTTGTTGTAAGCTTATATTGTTGAGTTTTCTATTTTTCTATAGCCTTTTATTCTCCAAATTTTGCCTTTTGCTGACAAAGGACATTCTCACTCTGAGAAAGTAGTGGTATCCTCTTGTGCTGCCATGAATTTTTAGAAGCTTAAGATGTGGTAAGTTCCTCACCAGCAGCACTGGTTCTAAACTGTGTCCAGTATGGTCTGCTCAAACTGTGTGCTGATGTCTAAGGAGGTTTCCAGTTGAGCCATCTTTACTGCGAGTCCTGTGAACAAGTAAGGATATTGGTGAACGTTCAAGCAGATGCTTAAAGATAACTCAAATTGCAAATAGGATAAATCTAGTGGAAAGCATGTTGAAATTACATATTCTAGTTCAAGAGTTGTAAATTATGAGCACTCATAGTTGCTGTGACCTGTAACTTTTTTTTTTTTTTTAACCAGTCCTGGGGCAGGAACTCAGGGCCTGGGCTCTGTCCCTGAGCCTCTCTGTGCTCAAAGCTAGCATTCTACCACTTGAGCCACAGCACCACTTCCGGTTTTTTCTGTTTATGTGGTATGGAACCCAGTGCTTCATGCATGCTAGCAAGCACTCTACCACTAAGCTACATTCCCAGCCCCTGTTCTGTAACTTTAACTAAATGTTATAACCTGAGAAGCATACAAGTAAATAAGACATGGTTTCTTTATCTTCTCATAGAGAAAAGTTTTAAGAAGGCTAAGAAGTAAGATCTGGATATTCACTACTTAACTGTTAAGTGCATAAGATAGAGATCTATTTAATATTTCCTTTCATGGCTCATGCCATGATCAAAGGGATTGTAGTTTGAGACTAGCCAGTACAGGAAGTTAGGAAAACCTGCCATCTCAACAAATAAGCCAGGAGTGGTGATTGTACATCTGTAATCCCACCTTTGCAGAGCATAGGTAGGAAGACAGTGGTCTGAAACTGATCTCAGAGCATACTTCAGCCTTCCCATCATAGTTGAAATGACAAGTGTGCACTTCTATGCCTGACTATTTTTCATTGAGCTGGAGTTCTGAAAACTTTTTGCCTTTACTGGTCTGGAACAATGATCCTCCTAACCTCAACTTCTCACAGGTATGTGCCAGTGTGCCTAGTTATGAATTGAGAGCAGCCTCAAACTGTAATCCTCTGTTCTCAGCCTTCCAAGGAAGTAGGAGTACAGGCATGAGACTCCAAACCCTGGCTTCAAAATAAAACGAGAAGCTTGCTGGTACTCTGCCACTCAGGCCATACCTAAATAGCTAGGATTACTGGCATGAGCCGCCAGCACCCAGCTCAAAGTAAAGTCTTAAAAACTATGATGTAAATGTAAGAAAGTAAGCCATAGCAAGAAATTCCAGCCAGCCACCAGTGGCTTATACCTATAATCCTAGCTACTCAAACTACTGAAATCTGAGAATCTATTTGAAGGCAGCCCAGATAGACAAATCCAAGAAACTTGTATCCCCAATAAACACAAAAAGCCAGAACTGGAGGTGTGGCTGAAGTGGTAGAGCTCCAGTTGTGATTGAAAAGAACGCCCTTGTGTTCTGAGTTCAGCTTCAGAATCAGCACACATTACTCCCCCAAAAGAAGTATATGTATTTTTATGATCTTAGGAGTCATCATTCTTTGTAAGCCCAACATCCAACTCAGAAAACATAACAGAAAAAAAAACTGAGAGATTTCTACATGAAGCCAAAATGTAAGAGTCCAACTGACCAATAAGTGCATGAGAAAAAAGATTTTTCAGCTTCAAAGTGAAATAGTGAATCAAAATAACAATAATGCACTAATGTATTAGTGACTATTCCAGTTATCTATTGCTGTGTAACGAAACACCCACAGCAGTTGCTGCAGACAATCACAATCACTTATTTTGCTCCCTTATGGGGAGGGGTCCGGTGAATGGACTCAGCAAAGCACTTCTTGTTCAGCATCTCCTGCAGCTGTGGTCAAGCAGCAGCTGGTGCTGAAGTCATACATAATCTAAGAAGAGCTCACACATGTCTGAGCTGGACAGAGTTCAACAGCAGGTGGGTTGAATGGCTGGGGCCTCACAGACAAAACTCTGTGTGGTCTCTTGGTCTCTGAGCATAGCTAGACATTTACCTGGCAGCTGAAGGCTCCAGAGCCAGTGTCCCAGGAGACACTGGCAGCCGCCCCGCTGTATGACTTTGCAGTAACATTTTTGGTAGTGATTTATTGCAGCAGTACAAAGGCCTGTGAGATTTAAAAGAAAGGAAGAAGAGAGTCAGAGAATTTATGAAGATATTTTTAAACCACCATAGGAAGCATGTTGAGACCCACAAATGCCTCTCTTGCACTTGGAGTTTAAAATGGGATGATCCTCTTGGATGACAATCTGGCAGTAATCATTTATTTCCTTTAACTCAGCAAGAAACTTCTAGGAATATGTCTTGAGGAAATAGTCATACAAGCGTTCAAAAATATATGTAAAAGAATGTTCTCACTTTTTATAATGAATATTGGAACAAATCAAAGGCCTAAGTAAAATTATTCAGCAAAAAGATAATCTATTTACCGACATGAAAACAAATCGAGATTGTAGAGAAAGCAGTAATAAAACAGTATCATTGGGTATGGTGGCATACACCTATAATCTCAGCGTTTTGGAAGCTGAGTCAGGGGGATTGAAATTTTGAGGCTAATTGAGGCTACAGAGGTAGTTCCTTGCCAGCCTAGGCTACATAGCCAGACCCCATGTCAAAACGCTCTTCTCTCTCTTAAAAACAATAACCAGGGGTTGGGAAGGTAGCTCAGTGGTAGAGCGCTTGCCTTGCATGCCTGAGGCCCTGGGTTCGATTCCTTAGCACCACATAGCAGAAAAAGCTGGAAGTGGTGCTGTGGCTTAAGTGGTAGAGCACTAGTCTTGAGCTGAAGAGCTGAGGGACAGTGCCTAGGCCTAGAGTTCAGGCCCCATGACCGGACCAAAAAAACAAAAAACCAATAACCAGAATGTGTGTTATTTTACTTATATTGGAAGAAAGGTAGATGATAAAATGGAGGAATATATGTAAGGCTATTTTTAAATGTATATAAACAGAGGAAAGTTTATAACACTATTCCTGAAATGTTAATTGATACTGTAACTGAATGATGAAATTTTTATGATCTTTTAAATTTTTTAATTTATTACTCAGAAAATCCAAAATAAAATGATACTTTTATTTTTAAAAAATAATTAAGGTACTCATTTTTAAGTATTTTGTTGTTGTTTGTTTGTTTCTTGTTTTTTGTCATGAGCCTTGAACTCAGGGCCTGGACACTGTCCCTGAGCTCTTTTGCTCAAGGCTAGCACTCTACCACTTTGAACCACAGTGACACTTGTAGTTTTTGAGTAGTTAATTGGAGGTAAGATTTTCACAGGGACTTTTCTATGGGGGCTAGCTTTGAACTATGATCCTCAGATCTCAGCCACCTGAGTAGCTACTTACACCTGGTGAAAATATAAATATTTGGTTGGTCATGGGGCTTGAACCCTGGGCCTGGGCACTGTCCCTCAGCTCTTCAGCTCAAGGATAGTGCTCTACCACTTGAACCATAGAGCCACTTCCAGTTTTCTGGTGGTTTTATAGGATCTTTTTTTTTTTTTTTGATCGGTCGTGGGGCTTGAACTCTGGTCCCGAGCACTGTCACTCAGCTCTTCAGCTCAAGTCAAGTGCTCTAACACTTGGGCCACAGCACCACTTCCATTCCGGTGGTTTTTATTGGAGATAATAGTCTCACAGATTTTCCTGCCCAGGCTGGCTTTGAACCATGATCCTCAGATCTCAGCCTCCTGAGTAGCTCGGATTACAGGTGTGAGCCACCGGCCGGCCGAAAATATTTTTTTATTAATTTTGTTTTGTTTTGAGCCAGTCCTAGAGCCTGAGTGGGTGCTATCCCTGTTTTTGCTCAAAGCTAGTGCTCTACCACATGAGCCACACCTCCACTTCTGGCTTTTTGGTGGGTAATTGGAGATAAGAGTCTCACAGACTTTCCTATCTTCACTGGCTTTGAACCAGGAGCCTCAGATCTCATCTTCTTGAGTAGCTAGGATTATAGGTATGAGACACCAGCTTTAATTAAATATTTGACTATTTTTTCCTCTGTTGGATGTTGGTTTAATAGATTGCTAGATTACCCCTGTCAGTTTCAACTCCTAGTAAATCCAACATTTCACTGCTTTTTCTGGATTTTGTCATTTCCCTTTCTCTTTTTTCTTTCTTTCTTTTTCTTTCTTTCGTCCTGTCTTTCTTTTGTTCTTTTTTTCACTAGTACTTAGATTTTGAACTCAGGGACTCATATTTGCTGCATGTGCTCAGTTTATAATCTGTCCCTTGAGCCACACCATCAGACCTACTTTTTGTTAGTTATTTTGGAGATAGAGTCTCAAGGACTTTCCTACCTGGGCTGGCTTCAAGCCTCAATCTTCTGTATCTCAGCCTCTTAAGCAGGGCTTACAGGCATGTGCCACGCCACCTCCTGCGGAGTCTGCATGAGAGATCCCGGTAGACAAAGAGCTTCAAGGAAGCATGCCTGCAGGAAGGAGGTGTTCAAGGCTTTCCATACACTTGGCTGCACCTTTATAGCCTCTACCTTTATTCTTACTATATTCTTCTTGGCTGTACATTCGTTGCCTTTATTCTCGTTTTGGCTATTTTTCTATTGATCCGCGAACAGAGCATGTTGTTTCTTTCCAGTCCAATAGAGACAGCTTCTCTGAATAATAAAGACTAGGACCAAAGATTAAATGTGGGCAATGCCCCAATCAATCTATCATCTGATGTGACGCTGCCTCCAGAAACTCCTACAACTTCACAAGCAGTTTTGCAGCTCACACATAGTAAATACAGAAACTTAAAATTTCCAGATATGTTACAACAGGCAGAATTAATGAATTAAACTAAGCTAGAAGGAGTTAACCCAGAAGCTCAGAGAGTTCTAGAAAAAGGGACCCCTAATAATAAAAGGAAAAGAAAGATTCCCCCAACAGTTATGATTAAGTTTAGTCTAGCTTACATTATAGGGAATAGATGGTGGTTTCCCAAAAAATATAAAGTTAGTGATATCACATTTCCTGAACCGACCGATGAACCATTGCCTTATACAGGAGCTTATAAAGATGAAAACAGATGGATTAATGTAAAAGGAAAAAGGGTATTTTGGAATTCATTAGATTTTATACAAAGATTAGGTAGATCTAGACCATTATAGTGTTTATTATTAAAACAACAATAATATAGTTTAAAATAACAATTAGAAATTTATGTGAACAAATATTGGGATTAAAATAATAGGAAACGGAGAATGCCTGACTCAACCTGGAAGTGGTTTTTTGGATGGTTTCAAAGGGACTTAAAAATATATGGAAAAAATAAAAAGAGTACAATATAAGTACAGCCCTGTCTTAGGTTTGTTAATTATTAAACATAAAAAGGCTGAATAGATGACACATTCTATTAAACTATATGCTAGACTTGTTTCGCACCACTTAGCTTAAACAGTTGATGGGATAGTCATCAATTTTCATGTAATCCACCAATGCTTTACTTTTCTTAAAAATTGATTACATGCTTAAATAAAGAATCTATGTCACAATCACACACTGTATAAAAATGTTAATTCTCCTCAAAGATACACTCAGATGCAACTCTTTTGAGTCTGTGTCTGTTTGTCACTTCAACATTTCTTTGTCCACCTATCCCCAGATCCCTGTCCTGTCGGTCCCAGTGCTGCAGCTGAGCTGGTCTGTCACAGGCCTGAGCTACTAGCACCTGGCAGACTTTGACACTTCTAACTTGCCCAATACAGTTCCCTTCTTTCAGTATCATCCATTTCTAGTTCATTCTCCAAAATACAGGAAGAATGCTTTTACAAAACTCAAATCTAATCATATTATCTTTCAACTTAAAATATACTTCAATACCTTGAACCCCTAAAGTTTCTCTCTGATGAAGTCCAAACTCCGTAACATGGTACAATAACTCCCCAGCCTTCTTCTCCAACTCCATCAATCATGAGCCTTTGAGGACTTAGCTTAGCCAGGCTCCTGAAGATTTTTTCTCCTGCCCCACCCCCACTTCACCTTCTTATCTTCGTTTACAGTTTCCATTATAGTATTGCAGTGCCCACTGCAGTCTAGTTCCCCCGTTAGAGGGCATAAAAACACAGCTGTGTCCTTTTTTTTTTAATCATTATAACCTGATAACTTAGTACACATATTCATATATAATAGACTTTTTTAATGATTATGGAATATCAACTCTATCACTTTTATGAGACTAAATTTAGAAAGCCAATATTATTTTTCTAGCTGAATATAAAAAGGTGAGAAAGACTAGTTTGTTTAACCAACTTGTTGTTTGTATCTGTTAGAGAAGGGAAGATTACAATGTTGAGTGAAATTTCATGGACTCAGATCCTTGTACTTGATAGGCAGACAGATGCTCTTCAACTTGATCCATGCCTGTAGTGTGTTTTGCTTTCATTATTTTTCACACAGGATCTTGCTCCATCCCCCTCTCTCACCCTCCCAGGCCCAGACTATGATCCTCCTATTTATGCTTCTTGTATAGCTAGGATGACAGACACATACCACCATGACTAGCTTGTAGGATGAGATGGAGGTCTCATGGACTTTTATTGCCTTCAAATTATGATTCATTTGATCTCAGCTTGCTAAGTAGCTAGAATTACAGATGTGAGCCAGAGCCCAGATTGAAATTGTAATTCTTTCAGTTCTGATTCCTAATCTTCCAAAAATTAGAAGGAATTAAAAAAGCACGGCTCTGTGCTTGAATCCCATTCTGTTTTACCATAGGGTCAGGGATTATATAAACAATAGCAATAGAAATAAAAATATAATGTAGGCTTGGTGTGTTGCTCAATGGTAGATTAATTACCTTAGCAAAGCTCTGGGCTCAGTTATAGGCACTGCATAGAATATTTGATTGGAAAGTAGGTAGGTAGATACATAGAAACATAGATAGGTAAATACAACATCTAAAAATAACAACTTGAAAACAAATTTTTGTGGTTTACTTTCCTAAGAATTGTGATTGTAAATAAAATTTTGGCAAGTGAAGAAAGGAAAATGAAGAAATTTAAAACTGCCTAAGCTGAGTACCAATGGCTCATGCTTGTTATCCTAGCTATTCAGGAGGTTAAGATATGAGGATCACTGTTCAAAGCCAGCCCAACCAGAAAAGTCCCCATGAGACTCTTATCTCCAGTTAACCACTCAAAAACCAGAAATGGAGCTGTAGCTCTAAGTGGTAAAGCACTGGCCTTGAGCAAAAGAGCTCAGGGACAGTACCCAGGCCCTGAGTTCAAGCCCCATGACTGACAAAAATAAATATTAAATGCGCGCACACACACACATCTTATATTGGGAGCATTTCCTAAAGTCTATGACCCAGACCTCTCCTACTTCATTTTTTCCAAGCAGTCTTGCTTCTCAGCCACCCCAGCACCCTGCCTGCACTGTCTTCTCCCCAGAACATGCTTCTTTTAACTGCTGCAGGGAAACAAATTATTTTGACCTAAATAATGATTGATTATACTTCCATATACTTCCTACTTTCTAACACCAAAGTCTGGCAGCATGAAATAGTACTTGCCTAATATATAATTAAAGTTGTTTATGTTATTATGAGGGTAAGAAGCTTATTAACAACTGTTCATGGTTTGTATAGTGAGTCTCAAATTGGCCATATCCTAGGAGAGCAGGACTAATCATTTGTTCAGTGTTTTTCTTCACTTGTAAGGAGTGTACTGTTCGCCTGCCCCTGAGCCTAGAAACCCTTCTACTTTTCCCTCACAAGATGATTTATGTACATATGCTCCTTATCTTTATGGGAGGAGAATGTGAGATTTCTTGGAGCCTGGGAACTTCAACCTGTCTGGATAGCCTACCTTGTTCTGTATTCTGGCTGCTGTAGGTTAGCCCTGGTCTTGCTCACACTGGGAGCCTCAGGCTGTGGTTTTCAAACTAGGGGTTCATTAGCATAAAGCATCACCTGGAGACTTGTTAAAGATGCAAGTCCAAGCTCCACCCCAGGCATGCTGAATCATTAACTCTGGAAGTGTAGTCTAGCAATCTGTGTTGATAAGTTGTCCAGGTAATTATGATGCTGAAGTTCCTCAACCTCTTCTTCAGAGATGGGAGTGCTCTTGCCCCTGAGTTCCAGCCCCTTGATACTCTCAGACTTCCTTAAAACAACCAGCCTGCCTGCATGTTTTCATATTGGGCAATAGTAAGTCTTTGTTGCTTGCACCCTGTTAGCCCACACAGGATCTCTCACTGACCTTCTTGATGCTGGCTGTTTTCTCTGACCTACATCTGTCATCATAGCCTGTGGTGTTTCTAATTACTGTAGCTTACTTGGCTGGGTTTTATCTGAACAGCTGCAACGAAGTCTTAACATCTGCATGCTGCCTCCAGCAACTTTTCTCATCCAAAGTTGTAGCCCCTTTGGGTCCTTCTTGGTTCATCTTAACATTCCCAGCATACAAGGTGGATATGGGGCAGTCCTCAAATTCTAACTAAAGTCAAAACCACAAATGACTTGGATGGTTTAGAATTCATGAAAAGGAGAACAGATAAGAAGAGATTTCACAATATATCCAGATATATTCTCTAATTTAAAAAAAAAACAATGAAAGTATTACCTACTCAAAAGTAAAGGTGCTTTGTTTTTAATATAAAAGTATGTATTAAAATGGGTGCTGGTGGCTCACACTTGTGATCTTACTACTCAGGAGGCTGAGATATGAGGATTGCGGTTTGCAGCCATCCAGGGCAGGAAAGTCCTTGAGGCCTTTTTGTTTTGTTTTGTTTTGTTGGTCATGGGGCTTGAACTCTGGGCCTGGGCACTGTCACTCACCTCTTCAGCTCAAGGCTAGTGCTCTACCACTAGAACCACAGTGCCACTTCTGGTTTTTTCTGTGTATGTGGTGCTAAGGATTCAAACCCAGGGCCTCATGCATGCAAAGCAAGTGCTGTATCACTGAGCCACCTTCCCAGCCCCCTTGAGACTCTTATCTCCAATTAACCACCTAAAAACCAGAAATATATTTGTAGCTCCAAGTGGTCAAGTGCTAGCCTTGAGTAAAAAAGCTCGGACAAGGCCTCAGCCCTGAGTTCAAGCCCCATGACTGACAAAAATAAAAGTGTTAAGAGCTGGACACCTGTGGCTCTCGCCTATAATTCTAGCTACTTACGAGGCTGTGATCTAAGGATCAAGGTTTTTTGTTTTTTTTTTCTTTAGGTCTAAGACTAGGTACCTAGGGGTACCTGCCACTTTTGTTTTTTAGCTAGCTCCATACTCCCAAAATTGAGGTTCAAAACCAGCCCCAGCTGGAAAGTCCATGAAGACTCTTACCTCCAATTAACTACCAAAAATCAGGAAGCTGTGACACAAGTGGCAGAGCACTAGCCTTGAGCAAAAAAGCTCTGGGACAGCACCCAGGCCCTAAGTATATAGGAACTTCCTGGAGGAAATGAGTAGTGATCTTCCTCCATCTATAATAGAGCAGAAAGATAAGAAAGAGAAAGTAACCCAACAAATGCCAGACAGATGTGGAGGGAAAAGCCTGCCTCACCAGTGTCCTCTTACTAAATCATGCTGTTTTTGACAACTTGTTTAGCTTATGGAATTCCACTGAAAGATCGAGGTGAGAAAACGGATGAAGAAGCCGAAGGTCCATATTCAGATGATGAGATGTTGACACACAAAGGGCTGCGAAGATCCCAAAGCATGAAATCAGTGAAAACGGTCAAAGGCCGCAAGGAGGTCAGTCACGTGTGCATCCTTTTTCCTGATTAGTATTCCCAGGATTTCCCTGCTGCATTATCATTAGGGGTGGAATGGGAGCGCTGTCAGTAACATATACTTATTGTTCTTAGTTTGGATCCGATGTATCAGGATGTCTGGAAATGTTTTTTCTCTCTGGGATTTGAAAATGGCAACTCCTATGTGGGCATTGTCATGAATACCCAGTGCTAGCTCTGTGAATAAATAAGGAAAGCTGCTGAAAAAGTACATAGGTTTGCCTTCAGCCATTTCTATATGATGATTGGTAGAAGTTTTACCCAAAATGATAAATGATCTTTACACCCAGAAAGCATGAAGGATCAGTGTTCATTGTTACTGTACTAAGCAAAACAAATAATAAAACAATGTTTTGTTATCAGCGATAATCTGTGCCTATCTAGTATCAACATACTGACTACATTTTTATGAGTTTATGAAAGTACTGCTGTTTTATAAACACTTAAATTGAAATATAGAGAACTGATTCTGATTCTATGTGTCTGGAAAGTTAAAAAGTTAATATGGTTATATACTGTTATGACCTATTTAAGTTTAAAAAGTACTCAGTGTGTTTAATAATACATTTTTCTCTTCAGGTGCGGTATGGTTCCCTAAAATACAAAGTGAAGAAGAGACCACAAGTGTATTTTTAGTCATCTACACTTCATATGTCCTAAGATAAATAATGCTAATAAGTCACTTTGGGCTGGGAGGTGGAGCTCATTTTCTATCATGATATATTTAGGATTTACACGTTAATTCTTTGGCTTGTAGCAGTGATAGTATTTACTATGGTGGATTTAAATAGTTTTTGCTTAACGATTTCTGATACTGCCTACTCAAGGTAGTTATCCAAGGTTTATTAATGTAAAGATCAGATCATGGAAAATCATGTTAGCTGTTTTCAAAGGCAGCATTAAGTGCCTGGGACTCAAGATTACACAAAAATCCAGAGTATACTTGAAGAGTCTCTTTATGGTGCAAGATAACCATTGTTGTGTTTCATTGTGTTTACCTCCATCTGTGTTATCTCTATCACATGCGGATTGTAATGAAATAGGCTTGTGACTGGGCTGTGATAGACAAAGGACATAATGTAAGATCATAAAGTACTTTTTATATATTCTTTAAATTTTTACCTTTCTAATACTTAACATTAACTGAAAACTCTTAAATATTTGAAAACCAGGTATCTATCTAGCACTTTCCTGACTAGTTTTGCACATTTGAGAACTGTTTACTTATCTGACAACTGTACATTGAGTTTAAATTTTATTGTCACTGTTTTATCATTGTCATACTCTGACATGTCGAATTTATGCCTTAAAATGCATCATCTCCTTTTTTCTATGGGTTTTATTTTTTAAATTTGTGGGAGTTATAATATAAAATTTTGCCTAATTGTTCAGTTTTTAATTATCTCTGTACAAGTAAAAAAGTTATTTTAAACACTAGCCAGTTTTTCATATTTAGATACAAAATGCAGTTGAAGTAAGCCTGTCAGCACCAATTACATTTTTCAGTCCTAAAAATGGTCGCTTTTATGAAATAAAGAGACCAGTGCGGCACATAGATACCTCCTATTCCGTAAAATTACCCAGTAGTCAGTTTGGCATCACCTATAACCCTAGCTACTCAAGAGGCTGACGTCTGTGGACTTTTCTGGCTGGACGGAAAAGTCCTCAAGACTGAATTTCTAAACAACCAGCAAAAAGTCAGAACTGAAGCAAGTAAAGGTATGGCTGAGGTGGTATGGTGCTATTTGTGAATGGAAAAAGCCATACAAGATCCACAGTTCAAGCCTCATTCAGTTCCAGCACTATATATATACACCTCCAATAATCAGTTTATTCACAAGCTTGCAGTAGACACATGCTGCTGGTTTATAAATCTGGTAGACTAAAATCATTTGAATTTTTTTGGCCAAAACAATTCCTGAAGGTGAGTAGTACTAGTGTAAAATACAGATATCATTAATCCTACACATCACAGGCTATTTGAAAAATTAGCATTTTGTAATCTAATCAATTTAGAGATATTTTTGAGGTTGTACCTCAAAATCAGCATATCTTTGGTAATGGTTTTGATGTTCAATAATCAAATCTGTATTTATTATACTATCCATTGTACTTGCTTGCCCTAAAGAAACATAAGAGAGATTTGTGAGATCTTCAACCTTCCTACCTTTCAAGAAGACTCAAGTCTTTCAAGGGACTCAAGTTTTGACTGGCTACAGAATATTCATTCAGGAGTATCTGGGGATCATTCATCCATTGCCTGTTGACTACTGTCGGGATATTGTAGACTATCTCTTGATGCATACCACCAAGTGAAAATTCATTCCTTTTTTTTTTAAAAAAAAAAATTTAATTCTATCAATATCTCCATCTACCACAACTAATTTTTAACCTCTTCATTTCTAGAAGGACTCTTTCAAACTTAATTAGAAGCTCTTGGGAGATGGCATTATTAACTTTGCGTAGTACTGGGCTTGTCTGCTAAATCATGCTTGTTTTTACTACACAGAGGCAATTACATCTCAGATTGCCTGATAAGGTCATGTAAGTGACTTTGTACTGAGAATATTACTTGTGAAGGGCTGATTGGTACCATTTTAGTCTTTTCAACTCTAGTCTCAGTTATTGGTTCTGGGGATGAGCTAAGGTGATGCAGAGCATGCTTAGTATGCACCAACCTTGCACTGTCCTGTAATAAACTCATGTTCATATACTATCTTAAATTTGAAACATTATTTATCTTCTAGAAGCAAACTCATTTATCAAAGACAGTAAAATCTGAGAGACAGGGTGCAGTTCCTTCTGTGACATTGTTCTCCTCCACATTCACCAGTCTGTCTCTTCTAAATTTCAGCTATTAACACCTTACACACAGTTACTACCATTTTCTTCTACCATTTTCTTACTCTCATTTTACATTTCTTAAATTTGGTTCTGTCCTTACAGTGTGTTTCAGCATGACTTTATTTGAAAATAAGCTTATATGTTTTTGCTTTCTTTATGTCTTAAAAGAAACAGATTCTTTTTGTTGTTTGTTTCTCTGCTTTTAAGTCTACTGATTTTAAGAGATGTAAATTTATTCATACATGACAGTGCCTTGCTCTTCTCCACCCCCCGCTGCTACTTGGGGCATGGCCATTAGATGCACAAGCCCATTTAGGGCACTGTTTTGATAACTGTTGGAATTGATCCAGAAATTACAGCCTACTAGTATTTTACTATACATCCATTCAACTTATTTACTAATACTTAGCCATCTCCCAGATTTGTTTAGGCATAAGAATTGATCTTTTCTTGGGGTTGGGAAGGTGGCTCAGTGGTGGAGTTCTTGCCTTACATGCATGAGGCCCTGGGTTTGATTCCTCAGCACCACATAAGCAGAAAAGGCCAGAAGTGGGGCTGACGCTCAATTGGTAGAGTGCTATCCTTGAGCTGAAGAACTGAGGGACAGTGCCCAGGCCCAGCTTTCAGGCCCCACGACCGACCAAAAAAAAAAAAAAAAGAATTGATCTTTTCTTTAAACTATCATCTTTTTTATGGTATAAAAAAGATCCAGAAATAAGCCTGTTTCTAAGTAATTATGTAAACCTACCTAGATTGTACCTGATTCCTTCCTCACACTTCCCTCTATCTGTATTTGGCTACAAATGATACTGCCACCATTACTAATTATAAATACTTGACTACACTGATTGATTGAACAAAATTATTGAAGTATTTCAGGGATCTTATTCCATGTCACCACCAAAGACTTCTACAGTGTTATAAAGTATGTAAATATTCCAACTTTCTATAAATGTGTTTTCTTTATTTACTTTTTAGAATAACAGTATATACTTTTGGGAGAATGCTTGAACATCTGTATTGTTAAAAAAAAAAAAAAAAGCATAATACTGCCAGGTGCTGGTGGCTCATGCCTGTAATCCTAGCTATTCAGGAGGCTGAGATCTAAGGATTGAAGTGCAGAGCCAGCCCAAGCAGTAAAGTCCATGAGACTCTTATCTCCAATTAATCACCAGAAAACCAGAAATGGCACTGTGGCTCAAAGTGGTAGAGTGCTAGCTTTGAGCAAAAAAGTTCAGGCCCCAAGTTCTAGACAACCAAAAAAGAAAACAAAAACAAAAAAATACTGTCTTACATTAAATATAAATAATTTATAATTTATAATTGGAAGGGCTAAACTTTCATTTACTATCTTTAATCAGGAAAGTTAAGGTGTTAATATATATTTAAAATTACTTTTCTATGCTTTCTCCTTTTGTGGACTGATTTGCTAAGTGATTAGGTAAATTTTGAGATCACTGTTATATGATATGTGGCATGTATTTTTAAGTAAACATACAAGATTAAAGCTTTCTGAAAGCTGTCTTTCAGATTTATGCTTTGAGAAACCTGCTGCAGATTAAATGTGTACTAACTCTTTTTAAACATTGACCAGGACTTTACCTTTTATCTTCTGACATCTAAGCTTGTATACTTTCATAGCTAAGAGAAAAAAAATTACAAAAATGTTATCTCTTTGTAAAGGCTATCTTTAAGCCCAGCTTGTGGTGATTTTGCAAGTGTATTTTTTGAAAAATTTAAAATAAACTCATTTTATTACCAGCAACTTGTATTTCTCTTTTAGTATCAAATAAGTCAAATTTCATTAATTGGTATTGTTTTTGACTATGCCCTAATTATGTAGTGAACACTATAAACATATACTTAAGTTTACAAATTACAGAGCAAATTCTAAAAATCATATGCATTCAGTAATACTCATCTACAGGACTACAAAAGGATCAATGAGTTGTTAAGTTTCTATGTTAGAAAGAGAAGATAGGCCAGGCACTGGTGGCTCATGCCTGTAATCCTAGCTACTCAGGAGGCTAAGATCATGGTTGGAAGCCAGGCACAGCAGAAAAATCCCTAAGAGACTCTTAATCACTTGAAAGCCCCACAAGTAATGAGACAGAGACAGAGAATATGAAAGCATTGAAACCCTAGCTTTCAATTGGTTAGTTAGCTGTCTGTCTTGGGCATAAAATATAACAGAAAAATTCAGATTTATGTGTCCTGGAAATGTTCTGGGGCTCCATCTGCTTGAAAGTCAGGCGTCTGTCTGCCTTACATTTCAGTTTTAAAGAGAAATCCTATGTTTAAAAAAAGTTTCCTTATGTTAATTCATTATGATAAGTAATGTACATTACGGCATTTCCAGATAGCTTTCAAAATAAAGTTCTTATAATTTCATTTGTATTATGAGGTATAGCCTCATAATTTGTAAAGAACATTTTTAAAGAACATTTCAAAAAAGCTGTGCAAATATTAACTCTTTCATTATTTTCTCTTGAAGTGTGGCTCACTGTTCTTAAAAAAGGAATTTGTGAGCCGGGCGCTGGTGGCTCACGCCTGTAATCCTAGCTACTCAGGAGGCTGAGATCTGAGGATCGCGGTTCAAAGCCAGCCCGGGCAGGAAAGACCGTGAGACTCCTATCTCCAATAAACCACCAGAAAACTGGAAGTGGCGCTGTAGCTCAAGTGGTAGAGCGCTCGCCTTGAGCTGAAGAGCTGAGGGACAGTGCCCAGGCCCAGAGTTCAAGCCCCATGACCGACAAAAAAAAAAAAAAAAAAAGGAATTTGTGAACAAAAATCATGAGAGGCCGATTATTTTTCTGGTTTTTATGGCGGAATTTTTTCCCTCTACCCAGGTCCTACCACTTGAACTTAGGGCCCCAGCCCTGTCCCTGAGCTTCTTTAACTCAAGGCTAGAATTCTACCAACTTGAGCTACAGAACCACTTCCAGCTTTGTAGTAGTTTATTGGAGGTAAGAGTCTCATGGACTTTTTTACCCTGGCTGACTTCAACCTGTGATCATTAATTCTTAGCTTCTAAGTAGGTTTTTAGGTGTAAGCCACCAGCGCCTGCCTTGATTCATTGTTTTCTGAACACATTCTGCCCTTTTACCTATCCTAGCCTTGAAATGCACTCCTTCTGGTCTGGCTTAAATGGCTTCTTAAAAGATAATTCTTTGAATTGAATTTTTTAAGCACAAGAAGGATACTTGTCAAAAAAAAAAAAAAAAGCTGGAAGTGGCTTTGTATCTCAAGTGGTAGAGCACTAGCCTTGAGCACAAAGAGTCTCAAGGACAGTGACCAGGCTCTCAGTTCAAGCCCAGGACAGGCCAAAATAGAGTAAAATAAAATAAACAGCTGTAGATTACTAAAGGATTGCGCCTGACAAAATCAAGAAAATTACCATGTTCATTCTGTTTGCTTAATATTCTCATATTAAGAAAAAGGGAAGGTAGGCACTATGCCTCACACATATAATCCTAGCTACTCAAGTGACTGAAATCAGGAGGACTGTGAATTGAGACCAGCCTGGGAAAAAAGTTCTTGAGATGCCCTTTCTCAGCCTAATAGCAAGGGGCACACGTCTGTCATCCCAGATATATGGAAGGCTGAGTTGGGGGGATCACACTTCCAGTCCAGCCCATTCAAAAAGTCTGTAAGCTGTCATCTCAACAGAAATGGTAACAATGATGATGCTTGTCATTCCAGCTCTATGGGAAGTGCAAATAGGATGATTTTAGTCCAGATCATTCAGGCAAAGAAGCAAAACCCTATCTCAAAAATGACTAAACCAGAAAAGACTGTTAGCATGGCTCAAGTGTTAGAGCACCTGCTTAGGAAGCATAAGGTCCTGAGTTTAATTCACGGTGCCATCAAAAAGAAAAAAACAAAAAACTGAAGGAGAAAGGGATGGTATTTTAGA